ATCGGACAGAGAAAGCAAACTATCAATATACATTTCTTGTCTCAGTAGTTCGATTTCTTCCAGAAGAAATGGCCTTCCCATCCTCAACAATCACACAACTGCTCAAATGAAAACAAAAGATCAAATGAGAAAAAAGATAACTGATATAATCAACCTCAACTTTCAAGAGAAATAGAAAATTCGTCCAAATACATGGGACTCATGTCAATCCCAATAACTTAAACAGTAAGTATTAAGAGTGAAATTGCACTTTCGAAAAGCCAGAATCGTGTGATGGTACAACGGGTTTCCTAACAAAAATTATGTAACAAAGTAATTACACCGATGACTCACTAAAAATTTTGATTTTTCATTTTGTTATGTTATGTTATATTAGAGGATGCGTAACACTTAGGAGTATTTTTGGTACTTTGTCGTTATACTTATATATATATGGATGTAGCTATGTAAACCTAATACACTAGTCTCTTCATATATTCTACTTCTTCTCTCTTCTCAAAACCCTAACGGGCTTGATAATCTAACTTGGTATCAGAGCTACAACAAAATTTGACGTCCTAAAGTTGTTGGAATTAATCAGAAAACACCTGTAGTGCCACTTGACAGAAAAATTCAATTTTCACACTGATGTATCGCTCATCTCCTAGATTTTTATGGTTATTTTTCCAAATTTTTTTGAAACCATCTAGCTGGTCTTTCCATTTTTTGAATTTTTTTTGGGATTTTTGGCCCAAATCAAGATGTGCCATCATTTGAGCAATCTGGGTTTTTTTTTTTGGTTACATATGATCGAATAGGATCGACTTGGGCTAAGTTGTATTGCCCAGTGCATCTTGTGTTGCATTTGAAGTGGGTTTCTGAGTGTTTTTGGCCCCAACAGTCCATCGGCATTACTGTTCAGGCCTGAACAGCTACCGGTTTGGCCTCTGGACAATGTACAGAGGTTGTTTGACTATTCTTTTGCTTCGGGTTGTTGCACAAATATTGTTTGGATGCTATTGGAGTTGTTTTCTGGTTGTGGGCTATTTTTCAACAGGAATTTCTTGTGATTTTTGCTATTTTGTGTTGGTCCTATTGTGTAACCAAGTCAGAAGGTAGTGCGACGTCTACTGATGTCAGGGTAAGTATTGGAGGAAACGGGTCGACAGCAAAATATCCTATGCCTGCACTATCTCCACAGAAAAATCTGGCTATCTGTTTGAAAAGCTTGCAATTTAAATCCATTTCAGAGTTGCCCAAGGCATTCTAGATAGCCTTCCAGGGGTGGACTAAACTCCCCTTAATGCATACCACTGCACTTCTCAATTTCTCCTCTTCTCTCAAAATAATTTCTTCATCCTTGGACTTAGAATCATTTTGCTCGATAAGCTCACCTTTGCTTTTCCCGGTCTCCCCAACCACCTTAACCCATCCCTTGTCTTCCATTTCCTGGGACAGAGAATTTCTATCACCATGAATGACATCCTCCATCAGCCTTCCAAATGCTTTCCATCTCCTTCCAACTAGGCCTTTAGGAATAATCAAGCTTGTTCTCCTTCCATTATTCAGTTACTTAGTAACGCTGACAAAGTCCCAAAATCACATCTAGTCTCCATTTCAATCCACACACCGAATCCATCTTCCCCGTATTTTCCGAGAAATACATCCTTCGTGTTCCAACACAAAGCGCCGGAAAGTAAGTCCTTCAACCACACCACACAACCTCTATTCAATTTCCAAATCGATTCCATTCAACTATACAAATCAACTCTCCAGACAGCCCTTCAAAATCCTCACTAAATCGTTTTTGTTAAATTTTTTACCTTTATCATGCAGCCAGAAAATCAAAACGAGGTANCAAATCGATTCCATTCAACTATACAAATCAACTCTCCAGACAGCCCTTCAAAATCCTCACTAAATTGTTTTTGTTAAATTTTTTACCTTTATCATGCAGCCACAAAATCAAAACGAGGTAAAAAAAAAACTTGAGAAAGCTCAAGGTAAGAGGGAGGAGGAGGAAAAAAAAGCATGCGAGCAAAAATGCCAGGTTACAAACTCGCAATGTTTCACTAGTAATTAAACAGCCCTATATAACATAACATGGAAGTTACACATAAATATAGCCTAACTATAGAAATTCTTAAGGGCGAAGTACTTGAGAATTTAAGAAAAAAGATGGTAAATTGACAGGTGATACATGTGAATAGGTTATGACAAGGTGCTACCAGATAAGGTGTTTACCACAGGTTGAAGTAACTACAAACATATCACAATATGGCATCCATGTATGAAGTTAAGGTAGATCAAAGTAAGGAAGCTTTGTTTGGTTAAACAAGTGGCCAAAACCTAAAAGAATAAATAACCAATTCACAACTAAGTAACCAAGAATCTCAATTACAACATAACCCCTGTAATTTAAAATATCACAACACAACCTAAGAAGAATTTTAACACTGCAAAACATCCCTTCAAAAAACAAAGTTCATCTTAATGGCAATTGCTTTCCTACCTATACATTAACTGCATCAAGAATACAAAATTGTGCCATTTACCAATATCAATTCTATCCCAGATGTCTTTTGTGAATCAAGGCTCCCAAGAACACAAAATGACAATTTTGCCACATGTCATGCAACATGATGTAAACTCATCACCCACCCCCAAAAAACAAAACACAAAAAAATGACATACACATCCCCTTCTTCGATATCAAAAGTTCTTTGGAGGATCGTCAATTTTTTTGTTTTTTGAAACTAATATCTAACATCGAGCAGAGGATTACCCAACAGGAACTTCTAGGTTGTCCAAAGCAAGCTTTGCCTGACAAAAGAAAAGTAGCATGCTATTTAGTGGATACAAAAAGCAACCTGCAAAAGGTGGGAAAATTTTTCAACCATGAATGGTCTATAAATGAAAGTATTAAAATGAAAATTGAATAAAAATCTACTTAGAATATTTAACCTAAATCAGTAGTTTGTCAGCTACGCAACAGCGACAATATAATGCACCTAAATCTACTTAGACTTGATCACCAATAGAATATAGCCACATTTAACAGGTGCACTTCAGTGTTGGCCTTGCTTATGGGTTTGATACCTCAAACACACAGCTCATGATAACTTTCCCATCAGCTGTGCAGCTAATAGCTCACAGTTAGCACATGAGCTTACAAATCCCAGTAGAGAAAATAGTAAACCACGTTCTAACTCAAGCTCTCGAGATGCTTTAGCAATGTATACATAAACTAATACAACCATGATATACAATTAACCCAAAATCACTATGCCATAACTTGCTTATAACATCCAATGTTCTAAAAGTTTTAATCGGGTCAAGGTGGGAAATTGATTCACCAGTGTGATTTTTTGGCATCCTTTAAGTCCATTAATACAACCATCTACACACAGGGTTAAGTGTTTTTGAGTACACTGTACATCTCTGGAGTGGGATATTCTCAGCTAATTCTGATTGGAAAGCTACAAACCAGTTTCCAAACTGGATTGGTCTAAAGCTCATCTATTTAACTCTAGCCATGCCTACATCCATCGCAAGGCTGGTTTGTGAAGACAGAGTAACTGCCAAGGACAAGCTCAGGAACTCAATGCACTATGCTGCACCACCAAAGATTACAAATCACCTCCCTTTTTACCGTTAATTCTCAACGAATTTGTAGAGTATCTCAACATCAACTGATTCTCAGACAATTTTGGGGCCGACTGCAAGGGTAGAGATGGCCAACCCATCACGTTAAGTCATTAATAGATATTCATCTCATGCCAAATATAGGGCAATTTCCATATTCTGCAACATATATGGGTTCTGGACAGAGAGGAATAAGAGGCCTTCCATGCATATCACAAAATCAACAGATATTTTGTTGCTGTACATAGCGACAATGATGCAAACTGTAGTTATGGAATGGAATCTGGGGGGGGGGGGGTTTGGATTCCTATTTCTTTATAGAAATATCATGCTTACCTAGGAAAAATATCAAAAAGAAATGGTGCATCCATCACCTGTTCTAATGCAAGCTTCATAAATGAAGCAGTATCTGGCAGTCCCTCTTCACCACAAGAGGCCATCTGAAAATTAATTCAATAAAAAGTTCTGTCATATTGCAAATCACTTTCACACGCACACACACCATCCATATAATTTTTATTCTGGGTCCACATCCAATAAATTGCAGTTATCAAGCTCAATGTGCATCACCAGACACCAGTAACCAACAATGTACCAACTACAAACTTCATGAAATTCAAAAATTATTACACTAGCTATAAAATGGGTATTCCTTACGCGTTTCTTTCAATTGCAATCCACAAAAAACATTTTCAAGATGTCAATGCAAAGAAATTCAAGAACTCCGTATACTTCATATGCACTATGGACTAAGACTTTTTCATTCATAAACTGCATTCAATAAATGAAACACAAAAAGATTCATTTACCCCTTCACCACAGGGAAGTGAAGTACTCAACAGCAACTATAGAAGCTTCAAAAAGCACATAGCCCATGTTTAAAGTCATCAAGGCAGGTGGTCTTTGTCTCGGTCTGGGCACTTTTCCGATTTCATAGTTCAATGTGACAGAGGATCAAAAATTTGTTTCGGTGTACAATTTCAGTCAACTCAAATGCGAAAATGTTTGGCAAACATAATAGAAACGGGAAAAAGTATGGAATTTTGATTGTGAAGCATTTTGAAACATACGAAGATAAATTCCAAAACATCCCAAAATATATTGAAACATTCTAAAAGATGCGAATTCAGGGTTTGTTTGATTTGTGTTTACAAAACAGTTTTTTATTCTCAAAACCCTAAAAATAAAGAAAGCCAGTTTGGTTAGATTTTTTCAATCTCTAATTTTCAAAAAACAAAAAATTAAAATTGAGATGGAGTTTTAGAGATCATGTGGGAGGTATTTTGGTTGAATTTGGGAACAAATTTTCAGAAAAAATGAAAACACGAGAAACAAGAGGGTCCTATTAATGAAATCCCACGAGCGAATCCCATTGGCTACAAAATATGCCCCCCCAAGGTTGACGACGAACGAGCAGCAACGAAGGCCGAACGAAGAGCACCAACTGTATGAGCACCGACAAAGGCCAAAGACGATGCCTATCACCTTCCTCTCTCTCGCAACCCATCTCACCTCTCATTCTCCAGCAGATCTATATAAATATACACATCTGTGTATATGTACAGATCTGTGCATATATATAGATCTGTACACAGATCTATAGGTGTATATATGTATGTGTATGTGTGTGTATATATACATATATATATATATTATGCAATGTGTGTGTGCTGTGTGAGTGTGTGGGTGTGTTTGACGGGTGCAATGGTTGCGTGTGTGTTTGTTTGTTGGTGTGTGTGTGTATGTTTGTTGTGTGAGAAGATAATGGAGAGAGAGAAGGAAAGGAAGACAGAGAGAGAGACGGATTTGAGAGAGAAGGAGATAAGTGATAAGATAAAAATTGGGGTTGGGGTTGTTTTGTGGATCATTGTCCAAACAAATTTTACTATTTTATGTTCTTTAAAACTATTTTCAAAAATATATAGCAAAACAAATTTTGCAATTTAAAAATTTTCAAAAATACTTTCTTAAAACTCTTCTCAAAAATTGTTTTCGAATTTTGTATTTTGAGATGCAATCCAAACAAGCCCTCAATATTCGACAACTAATTTGTTTCGTTTCCCACCAAAACCAAAACCAAAACCGTCCGCTCATAACCAAGAGCAAAAAAGATAAATCCATTTCAAATATGATTGCATCACTGAGGTAAACATAATTACTTATTCTCCCTGTCTAAGCAATGTAGTTCATGTTTACTTTTCGGAATTCGTTTTTGGTAGGTGTCTCTAAAAGAATTGAATCGATTCAAGCTATAGTATCATCAATTACAAGACCTAGGTAGACAGGTAAAAACTCATTCAACCAACTCAAGGAAAAGTGCTTGTGAACGATATGTGCAAAATAAAAAATTAAGCCTAATCAAAAAATCACAAACATTTTACTAAAAGAGCATCAACTAGCAATAAAATTTGTAATTCCAAACAAAAAAAAAATACCATACCACATTAAATTTCCAATAGGGGTCATTAAAATTAGGCATAATAGCGTGAAAAATTAGATAATTTCCAACAAAAATTTCACACCAAATCGCAATAATTTTGCATCAAATCACACAAGTACTAAACCTAACAAAGTGACAAACTGTGTGCGGGTGTTTGCGAAGCAGTGTGCAGTAGTGCGCATGTGTGTGGGTGTGTGCGGAGCAGTGCATGGGTGTATGTGGGCGATGAGTGGTGAAGTGGGTTTTCCTTTTCAAAACCATATTATATGTTTTGCAAATTGTTAATTGCCCAACCTTGAAACTTTTTTGAACAGAATGGTTATCCTCACACATATTCTTTCAATTTTTTTGAACAATACCCGGGTGTCGGTGAGTGTGAAGTAGTGTGTAAATACGTGTGTGGGTGTATTTTACTGAGCAAACTTTGAAACTTTTCTGGACAAAACTCGTGTGTGGGTGTGAGTGTTTATCTGCGTGTGTGTATGTGTGTTGGAGGGTGACGATCTCTGTGTGTGAGTTGCAAGGGCTAATGTGAGAGAGATGGGATGGGTAGGGTGGGAGCAATATGGGACAAAAAGAGGGAGGTAAAAAAGAGAAAGAGGGAGTACCTAGCTGCTCCGCCGACTGGCTGGGTTGTCTGAAGCAGAGAATAGAGGGAGACGGAAGGGAGGAAGAGAAAGAAGAGTAGATAGGAGGGAAGAGAATAGAGACTGAGCAAAAAATAAGGAAATAAGATTCGCAATGGAATAAGCTNCCCTCTTGATGCAATCCGATCTTTGACTTAAAACTTTTTCTATTTTAATTAAATGGGCCATATAATGCCATTCCTTTTGAGTATAAAAGGAAGCCTCAAGATTCTATCTCTTTCTCAGCTTCATCCTAAAACTCAATTCTNGGGAGGTAAAAAAGAGAAAGAGGGAGTACCTAGCTGCTCCGCCGACTGGCTGGGTTGTCTGAAGCAGAGAATAGAGGGAGACGGAAGGGAGGGAGGGAGGAAGAGAAAGAAGAGTAGATAGGAGGGAAGAGAATACAGACTGAGCAAAAAATAAGGAAATAAGATTCGCAATGGAATAAGCTAAAAAATAAGGAAATGGAGAAAGACGATAATTGCAAAGAAAGAAAGAAACGTGGGATTGCCTAGGTCCGTTTCGTTAAAAATAAAAAAAATAAATGAAAGAAAATATATTATTTTCATTCAATTTAACCACGATTGATTTTAATTAATTAATATGAAATTAATGAACTTAAGTCAATCTTGCGATAGGCTTTAAATTTAATGCACAACTATGGATGCATAAATAATCAAATAATCAATTTTACAAACACATGGGATGCNCGTTAAAAATAAAAAAAATAAATGAAAGAAAATATATTATTTTCATTCAATTTAACCTTTTAATTAATATCAAATTAATGAACTTAAGTCAATCTTGGGATAGGCTTTAAATTTAATGCACAACTATGGATGCATAAATAATTAAATAATCAATTTTACAAACACAGGATGTGTGTGTTGACAAATTCAAGTATATACAATAACAAGTATAAACAATTTGTTAATGTAAAAAATCATCATCAAGAAAAATTGCGAGAACCACTAGAGGTTCACCGAAGCCTAATTCACTATTCGCTAAGTAACCATAAAAGACTCGAGTTTTATACATCAACCAATAATGATGATTAGATGGTCTTTTCCTTGTTATATCTCTATGTTGAAAACTCTCTCTCCAATGTCTGGTATAATTTCACTTGGACATCCTCTGGCATAATTATAATTAGCTCTGAATTTTGGGATTAGGGCAAAAAAAAATCAATTAACAGTGTTTGAGAGGACACTATGACTGACATGCACATTTGCNATCATCAAGAAAAATTGCGAGAACCACTAGAGGTTCACCGAAGCCTAATTCACTATTTGCTAAGTAACCATAAAAGACTCGAGTTTTATACATCAACCAATAATGATTATTAGATGGTCTTTTCCTTGTTATATCTCTCTGTTGAAAACTCTCTCTCCAATGTCTGGTATAATTTCACTTGGACAACCTCTGGCATAATTATAATTAGCTCTGAATTTTGGGATTAGGGCAAAAAAAAAAATCAATTAACAGTGTTTGAGAGGACACTATGACTGACATGCACATTTGGCTTNTGACATGCACATTTGCTATATTTCTAGTTTAGTATGTTGTTGTTTTCCGCCATTACCATTACTTCTACTTAACAGTCACCGAGAAGCAGGTCTCAATTGAACAAAGACTTGTCGTATTTTATTTGAGAGATGCAAAAAAAACGGTTTTCAAGGTCTGCAAGTTTGCATCATAAATCCCCAAAAATTGAAAAGAGTTTGTGTTGGCTGTCATACAGCCACTAAGGTTGTTTCAAGGATCTACCAGAGAAAGATCATCGTCGGTTACCAAAAATTATTTTCATCACTTTGTCACTGGTTCATGCTCGTGACTAGCTAGTGGTGAAAAAATGAAGTATGCACAACTTGTTTTACGATGGGAAAAATGCAGTTTTTAGACTTATTGTTGGGATAGGCAAGGATGGGAGTATTACATCAATTGCAAAACTGGTATCAAGGTATGCAATCAAGTGTTGCTCATTTTCCTTATAGTTGTATCTCGTATGACATTTGGGGGCACAAAAGCCAAAACTTGCAACTTTATTATTCAAGCTTTCAGCTTGTCTCTTATTTCAGCAAAATCCAAGCAGTGTCATGTGAAAAGTGTAATTACAGTTTTACAGAAAGTCTCTTAATATTGTTCTGCCCAAACATAAGAGCTGTGGGCTATGCAACCCTGGGCAATTATTACAACAGTGGGCCATTTGGGGTGTACACTATTCTTTTACTAATGCAGCATTCAAGAATGGAATTGATAGATATATGCTCTTGTTTTAGATTCACAAATTGATCATAGGCCATGAGTATATACTAAGTTGACCTGTGTTCCATAGACTGATTTCTTCNTGCCAAATATAGGGCAATTTCCATATTCTGCAACATATATGGGTTCTGGACAGAGAGGAATAAGAGGCCTTCCATGCATATCACAAAATCAACAGATATTTTGTTGCTGTACATAGCGACAATGATGCAAACTGTAGTTATGGAATGGAATCTGGGGGGGGGGGGGTTTGGATTCCTATTTCTTTATAGAAATATCATGCTTACCTAGGAAAAATATCAAAAAGAAATGGTGCATCCATCACCTGTTCTAATGCAAGCTTCATAAATGAAGCAGTATCTGGCAGTCCCTCTTCACCACAAGAGGCCATCTGAAAATTAATTCAATAAAAAGTTCTGTCATATTGCAAATCACTTTCACACGCACACACACCATCCATATAATTTTTATTCTGGGTCCACATCCAATAAATTGCAGTTATCAAGCTCAATGTGCATCACCAGACACCAGTAACCAACAATGTACCAACTACAAACTTCATGAAATTCAAAAATTATTACACTAGCTATAAAATGGGTATTCCTTACGCGTTTCTTTCAATTGCAATCCACAAAAAACATTTTCAAGATGTCAATGCAAAGAAATTCAAGAACTCCGTATACTTCATATGCACTATGGACTAAGACTTTTTCATTCATAAACTGCATTCAATAAATGAAACACAAAAAGATTCATTTACCCCTTCACCACAGGGAAGTGAAGTACTCAACAGCAACTATAGAAGCTTCAAAAAGCACATAGCCCATGTTTAAAGTCATCAAGGCAGGTGGTCTTTGTCTCGGTCTGGGCACTTTTCCGATTTCATAGTTCAATGTGACAGAGGATCAAAAATTTGTTTCGGTGTACAATTTCAGTCAACTCAAATGCGAAAATGTTTGGCAAACATAATAGAAACGGGAAAAAGTATGGAATTTTGATTGTGAAGCATTTTGAAACATACGAAGATAAATTCCAAAACATCCCAAAATATATTGAAACATTCTAAAAGATGCGAATTCAAGGTTTGTTTGATTTGTGTTTACAAAACAGTTTTTTATTCTCAAAACCCTAAAAATAAAGAAAGCCAGTTTGGTTAGATTTTTTCAATCTCTAATTTTCAAAAAACAAAAAATTAAAATTGAGATGGAGTTTTAGAGATCATGTGGGAGGTATTTTGGTTGAATTTGGGAACAAATTTTCAGAAAAAATGAAAACACGAGAAACAAGAGGGTCCTATTAATGAAATCCCACGAGCGAATCCCATTGGCTACAAAATATGCCCCCCCAAGGTTGACGACGAACGAGCAGCAACGAAGGCCGAACGAAGAGCACAAACTGTATGAGCACCGACAAAGGCCAAAGACGATGCCTATCACCTTCCTCTCTCTCGCAACCCATCTCACCTCTCATTCTCCAGCAGATCTATATAAATATACACATCTGTGTATATGTACAGATCTGTGCATATATATAGATCTGTACACAGATCTATAGGTGTATATATGTATGTGTATGTGTGTGTATATATACATATATATATATATTATGCAATGTGTGTGTGCTGTGTGAGTGTGTGGGTGTGTTTGACGGGTGCAATGGTTGCGTGTGTGTTTGTTTGTTGGTGTGTGTGTGTATGTTTGTTGTGTGAGAAGATAATGGAGAGAGAGAAGGAAAGGAAGACAGAGAGAGAGACGGATTTGAGAGAGAAGGAGATAAGTGATAAGATAAAAATTGGGGTTGGGGTTGTTTTGTGGATCATTGTCCAAACAAATTTTACTATTTTATGTTCTTTAAAACTATTTTCAAAAATATATAGCAAAACAAATTTTGCAATTTAAAAATTTTCAAAAATACTTTCTTAAAACTCTTCTCAAAAATTGTTTTCGAATTTTGTATTTTGAGATGCAATCCAAACAAGCCCTCAATATTCGACAACTAATTTGTTTCGTTTCCCACCAAAACCAAAACCAAAACCGTCCGCTCATAACCAAGAGCAAAAAAGATAAATCCATTTCAAATATGATTGCATCACTGAGGTAAACATAATTACTTATTCTCCCTGTCTAAGCAATGTAGTTCATGTTTACTTTTCGGAATTCGTTTTTGGTAGGTGTCTCTAAAAGAATTGAATCGATTCAAGCTATAGTATCATCAATTACAAGACCTAGGTAGACAGGTAAAAACTCATTCAACCAACTCAAGGAAAAGTGCTTGTGAACGATATGTGCAAAATAAAAAATTAAGCCTAATCAAAAAATCACAAACATTTTACTAAAAGAGCATCAACTAGCAATAAAATTTGTAATTCCAAACAAAAAAAAAATACCATACCACATTAAATTTCCAATAGGGGTCATTAAAATTAGGCATAATAGCGTGAAAAATTAGATAATTTCCAACAAAAATTTCACACCAAATCGCAATAATTTTGCATCAAATCACACAAGTACTAAACCTAACAAAGTGACAAACTGTGTGCGGGTGTTTGCGAAGCAGTGTGCAGTAGTGCGCATGTGTGTGGGTGTGTGCGGAGCAGTGCATGGGTGTATGTGGGCGATGAGTGGTGAAGTGGGTTTTCCTTTTCAAAACCATATTATATGTTTTGCAAATTGTTAATTGCCCAACCTTGAAACTTTTTTGAACAGAATGGTTATCCTCACACATATTCTTTCAATTTTTTTGAACAATACCCGGGTGTCGGTGAGTGTGAAGTAGTGTGTAAATACGTGTGTGGGTGTATTTTACTGAGCAAACTTTGAAACTTTTCTGGACAAAACTCGTGTGTGGGTGTGAGTGTTTATCTGCGTGTGTGTATGTGTGTTGGAGGGTGACGATCTCTGTGTGTGAGTTGCAAGGGCTAATGTGAGAGAGATGGGATGGGTAGGGTGGGAGCAATATGGGACAAAAAGAGGGAGGTAAAAAAGAGAAAGAGGGAGTACCTAGCTGCTCCGCCGACTGGCTGGGTTGTCTGAAGCAGAGAATAGAGGGAGACGGAAGGGAGGAAGAGAAAGAAGAGTAGATAGGAGGGAAGAGAATAGAGACTGAGCAAAAAATAAGGAAATAAGATTCGCAATGGAATAAGCTAAAAAATAAGGAAATGGAGAAAGACGATAATTGCAAAGAAAGAAAGAAACGTGGGATTGCCTAGGTCCGTTTCGTTAAAAATAAAAAAAATAAATGAAAGAAAATATATTATTTTCATTCAATTTAACCACGATTGATTTTAATTAATTAATATGAAATTAATGAACTTAAGTCAATCTTGCGATAGGCTTTAAATTTAATGCACAACTATGGATGCATAAATAATCAAATAATCAATTTTACAAACACATGGGATGCGTGTGTTGACAAATTCAAGTATATACAATAACAAGTATAAACAATTTGTTAATGTAAAAAATCATCATCAAGAAAAATTGCGAGAACCACTAGAGGTTCACCGAAGCCTAATTCACTATTCGCTAAGTAACCATAAAAGACTCGAGTTTTATACATCAACCAATAATGATGATTAGATGGTCTTTTCCTTGTTATATCTCTATGTTGAAAACTCTCTCTCCAATGTCTGGTATAATTTCACTTGGACATCCTCTGGCATAATTATAATTAGCTCTGAATTTTGGGATTAGGGCAAAAAAAAATCAATTAACAGTGTTTGAGAGGACACTATGACTGACATGCACATTTGCTATATTTCTAGTTTAGTATGTTGTTGTTTTCCGCCATTACCATTACTTCTACTTAACAGTCACCGAGAAGCAGGTCTCAATTGAACAAAGACTTGTCGTATTTTATTTGAGAGATGCAAAAAAAACGGTTTTCAAGGTCTGCAAGTTTGCATCATAAATCCCCAAAAATTGAAAAGAGTTTGTGTTGGCTGTCATACAGCCACTAAGGTTGTTTCAAGGATCTACCAGAGAAAGATCATCGTCGGTTACCAAAAATTATTTTCATCACTTTGTCACTGGTTCATGCTCGTGACTAGCTAGTGGTGAAAAAATGAAGTATGCACAACTTGTTTTACGATGGGAAAAATGCAGTTTTTAGACTTATTGTTGGGATAGGCAAGGATGGGAGTATTACATCAATTGCAAAACTGGTATCAAGGTATGCAATCAAGTGTTGCTCATTTTCCTTATAGTTGTATCTCGTATGACATTTGGGGGCACAAAAGCCAAAACTTGCAACTTTATTATTCAAGCTTTCAGCTTGTCTCTTATTTCAGCAAAATCCAAGCAGTGTCATGTGAAAAGTGTAATTACAGTTTTACAGAAAGTCTCTTAATATTGTTCTGCCCAAACATAAGAGCTGTGGGCTATGCAACCCTGGGCAATTATTACAACAGTGGGCCATTTGGGGTGTACACTATTCTTTTACTAATGCAGCATTCAAGAATGGAATTGATAGATATATGCTCTTGTTTTAGATTCACAAATTGATCATAGGCCATGAGTATATACTAAGTTGACCTGTGTTCCATAGACTGATTTCTTCTGTGCAGCATGTTTCTTATATTGCACTGGCTGCATGGAACATATGTAATTTGATGTTTATGCGTTTTATCAAGAACGTTGTTGGATCATTGTGTGCCAGATGAAGAGGAGCACATAACTATAGCGTGAGTTTGGGGTATCGTTCTTCCAAATTTCCTCTGTAATGTAGTTTTAGTTTCTTTATATATGGGATAGTAAATTTGTGTGCAGCTCCCATAAATTTGTGTGCAGGTACCTGATTTATTGAGATGTTAAGAGGGGAAAAAGGGGAGCCTCATAATTAACTTTCTATTTAACTGGCATTCAATAGATTAGACAGTTGGACACTTGGACTTGTAACAAAGTTTTTACATAGACAGATACATTGCTTCCAACTTTGGGTTCATTTCTCTCTCCCTCTCCCTCTCCCTCTCCCCTCCTTCCCCACCCCCCGCCCGCCCACACACTCCCCAAGGCATATTGGCTTGTATATTTACTTTATCTAAAGTAATTCCTTAGAATTTGTCCATAACTCAATCTGATGATGCTGTTCAGCTATACATCTTCTGCTTAGTTTTTTTTTTTGGGTCGACTCTTCTGGTTAGTTGGATTCATATAATTGTGCGGACTTTGGGACTTAAAAACTACTTCATTGTGCTCTTTTGCTGTACAGTGAGACAATTAGATGTACGACATTATAAAAAGTCTTTTGGTGGAAGCAAACATGCTTTTATGGGATGCACTGAACCTAACTCACAAAGGCCTCAATTTGGCCGGATGGCTTTATAATCCATCTCCTTTTCAGCTCAGAATGGCTTGAATCATTATAAAAACCCCTTGTATCCTAACTATGCAG